CATTTCCCACTGCTTTCGTCACCTCCTGCCACATACGCCTTTCCATGCGAAGGCCTTCTCACTTCATCATCCTTAGAGTCGGTAGACCATACTTGCACGCCACCGAACTCGTCATCCGCTGCCGAACCCTGTACAATAAGAGCATTCATAGAAGGGTTAGTAGCAGCTTTCTTCCTCTTGATCTCATCCAGCTTTTTCATCAACACAGCTTCTTCATCTTTCTCCTCATCCTTCTCTGTCATTTTCTTCAGAACATAGTCTTTGGCATAATGGTTCTTTCCTCCACAGTAGTAGCAGTTCACACCAGAATCTCCTTCAACTTTCGCCTCTTTCTTTGGTTCCTCTGTCTTCGGCTCCTCCTTAACCTTTTCAGAACTATAGCTTCCCTGCCAATTTCGGTTCTTATTGGTAGGGAACCTTTTCTTGATGAACCTCTTTGGATTAGATACCATCATTGCATAATCTTCAGAAGTAAGATCATAATCTTCTAAGTTGAGATCTTCATCTTCTACCATACTTTTGCTTTCAGACAGGAGGGCCAAGGACCCCAAACCTGAGACCACATTTTTCTCTTGCAAGTCAATCTTTTCTTGAGATTTCAAGATTCCCACCAGCTTGGCCAGTGAATAAGACTTGAACTGCTCATGGGCTTTAACAGTGGACACGACAGCCCTCCACTCGGATCTTAGGCCATTCAAAAAAAGGTGACCTTCTGTTCAATCAGCTTCCTTTCTATATCATGTTTGATCATATTGCTAAGAAGATGATTGAAGCGATCGAACGTCTGAGTAACAGTTTCATCAGAATTCTGCTTAAATTCACCAAACTCAGACAACAGCAACGTCTGAATGGAATGCTCCAAATCTTCATCTGTGGAATAAAGCTCTCGCAACCTATCCCAGATTTCTTTAGCGGTACTGCAGGAACTCACTAACCTGAATGTATCAGATTGAAAAGCGAATCGGATTAGTCTCAATGCTTTGATATTGCACTGAAACTTCTCCTTTTCGTCTTGAGCAACGTCTTTTACATCTTTTAACAGATCTTTATATTCTTTCTGAGTTTTGATGATCTTTGATGTTCCTGAGTGAGTGAATGGTCCAGACACGATTGCTTCCCAAATAAGATATCCATTATCTTCAGATCCGATGACATAATCTTCAAAATGATGCGCCCAAACTTCATAATCCTGGGTGTAGAGAATAGGAATCTTTGTCGTTGATCCAATGTTGTTTGATATGTTGATAGGATTAGATTGTGACTCGTCCATGCTTGATCGTTTAACTTGTTTGAAAGATCAGACTTGTAATACGTAATATTAGGGCAAAACAAATAAATGCTGAGTTACGTCAATTATGGAATGACGACTCAATAAATATCAGTTAATGCAGAATAACCCTAATCGCAAACTCTTTCACAGAAAAGATGTGTATCGATTACACAGCCTCCTACTCTGATACCAATTGATAAGTTATAAAAACTCTTTAATTGATTAGATCTTCGTAACAGGTAAGTAAAGAACGTAAAAAACAAGGAAATAAAACACAAGTATGGATCACAATGAGTCGAATGATTAGATTACTCAATCCTCAGCAGAGCTCGACTAAGAACTTCCGCTGTAGAGGACTTCTAGGGTTACAAAATAAAAACGATTAATATGCTGAACAATACTTCTCTAATCGTTTCTAATCATTTCATTCTAGGATGCATGCAAGCATCTATTTATATTAAACCCTATAAAACTCACGGATGGACAGGCCCATACCGGAGATAAACATGGACTAGCTAACGAGCCCAATAGACGCAACACAATACTTGACCTAACATTTAAAATACTTGAATTATTCCTTTATTTTTAGACAATATGATGTTTTTATATAGTTAACAAAATCAAAGACATTTTTGTAATTTTTAAAATTAACGACAATTTTATATCTTTATAATAAAGGAACCTCAATATGCGAAAATAAAAATTGCCACCATTTCGTTTAAGATGAAAAAGAAGTTACATAACAATAAAATTTAGGCTTTAGTTATGTATTTATGCGACCTAACAATTTTTTATTAAGTTATATAAAAAAGTGGGGTTCTTAACAATTTATTCAGTCGTTCTAATTTGCTTTCCGTTTATACCATAAAAACATTTTTCTTTTAAAATAAAGATAACATCTTAACATAAATAAATTAATCTCAATAGTAAAAGCTAAAATATTTCAACCAACTCACCAACCCCAACATATATGTCTACAATCCAAATATGTCAAAAAAAAAAAAAAAATACCGTTCAGCCTTAAAATCTCCACATTCGCTTCATTTTATTACGTGTTTATATTTTCCGAATATGACATGTTTACGAAAAAAAAATGAATGAAAGAAAACTAATGGTCGTCCGCCGCTGTGCGTGAGTGTCCTGCTAGTGTGTGTGTGTCTATATATATATATATATATATATATATATATATATATATATATATATATATATATATATATATAATTTGCATTTAAAGCAAAATCATCTTTTATATAACTAATTTTAAATAACAAACGAAACAAAAATATATACGAAGTAAATATGAAATAGATACAAGTTATAGGGCCCTTGAGGAATTGGTCTTATATCCCAACATAAAACCAAAAATATATACGAAGGAAATATGAAATAGATACGAGTTATAGGGCCCTTGAGGAATTGGTCTTACATCCCAACATAAAACCTATCTTTTCTTGCTAAATCTTTTTCCTTCTTCGTCGTGATCCGGTGCTCCTCTTCTTCCTTTTCTCTGGTGAGTGGCTTTGTTAATTCCCCATTAAGATCTTTTTTTTTTTTTTTTTGCTTTCAAGTTTATGTATTGATGGCTGTAAAGATATTCATATTTACCGACATTATGATCATATATGGAAGATATTTCTTTTGAAAGTTTATTAGATAATGTAGTTAATCATAACGACGATCAAACTTTGGTAATTTGAATCTGTTTTGTATACATAGGACATGAGCAATCGGTTCATTGCATTTTAATAAATTTATCGATTACAAATATGACGAACAAAATTAAATCGAATTGTATCTCGGTTACAAATACGACAAATCAAATTAAATCCAATATAAATATACATAAATAAATATGCATATAATTGCCCTGTGGCTTTCCTTCACAACCAATTACTTTTTCCATTTTCTCTCAGTTTTGAGTGAGTTTGTTAATATAGATGCATGACAATTGGACCTAGATCATGTAACATAACTCTATTATTATTAATTTTTTTTTGTAAATATATTAATTACTTGTGATGGAGTTATTCTTGCTCATTAGTAACACCGTCAATCTTAGTTGATGAACATCTGGTGCATCCATTTACAAAAACATGAATATATATATATATATATATATATATATATATATATATATATATATATATATATATATATATATATATATATATATATATATATTGACAAGAATTCTAAACTTATTCAAACAGAGAAGAATTTTAACTGCACCTATTACAACTGACTTTTATATTGTTAGAAAAATGCAGATGACAGATTATCTATGCGAAGAGTTGATTGTTGAAATATTTACAAGACTACCACCGAAATCCCTCCTCCGATTTAGATCACTCTCTAAATCGTTATATACTTGTATTTCTAGTCCCCAGTTCATACGCTTGCACACATTCCGATCCCCACAAAAAATCCGCTTCACGCATGAAAATATTGACAATAATAAAATAGCAGAAGTCGTTTATACATTACACGGAGAAGACGAATTGCCATTGTGTTTGTGTCCCAAACGCGGATATATTGGTATAACAACAAGAATTCCGTTTCCTTGTAGCAATAGGTTCAGAACTGTTGGTTCATGTAATGGAACTTTCTGTTTGAAGACTAAAAATGGTTTGACTCTATGGAACCCTTCAATCAGACGCAAAGTAAGAGTGCCTGAATGTCCTCGGAGTTCTGAACTCGCTTTGGGAGGTATTGGGTTTGGATTTGACCCAATCAGTGATGATTACAAAATTATTTGGATATCATATGAAAAAGACACTTCATTTGTTTATGCGGTGAAGACAGGCACTTGGTGTGAGATTACTTCCCCTAAACCTGAGTTTACTTATGTGCGACGTGAGGCGTTTTTATTTAAAGGAGCATTGCATTGGGAGGTAAATCATTTTGACTTAGACTTTTCTTGTATACTGACATTCGATTTGAGCACTCATGTTTTTGGTATGATTCCATTTCCTGGATTGGCTCCGGACTGGTTGACGACAACACTAACAACCATCCAAGATTCTCTAGCTTTGATTTGTTATCGCATGAATATTGATGATAGTTGGATTCTGGTATGGAGAGATGCTTCTTGGTCTGTGGTTTTTAAATTGGGAACAGGTAAACTTCCAGTTGATGGAGCTTTTCAATTCCAACCACAACCACAAACGACCAACGAGTGTAATTTGTTGCTCACTACTTATGGGGAAGGGTTCCAAATTTATAATCCCAAGACAGGGTTGCGATCAGGAGTACTTGGATTCAATGCTTCTTCTAGTTTAATAGACTTTTGGGAGTGTGTCGAAACACTTCATTTGTTAGACATGGGCGAGCCTGCTTGCGAAACAACTCAACTATGAGGAAAAAATTTACAACATTTGGGTTTTTGATGCATTTTGATTACCATTTTAGTCTTTATCATTGATACAAAAGAGTTGATGTTACTGATTCCTTCATTCTATTAATAAAAAACCGAATATGTAATTTCCCACTTCTTTGCCAATAAAATGAGATCTTATTGGGGCTGTTTTAACGGCTAGACTTTATATAAATTGAACTTCAAGAAGCAGGAATTACATTATACAATATAGAAGGTGTTGGTCCATGAGTTCCATATCAAATCCCTACACCATTTAGCTTTATTTTTAAGCCATAGAATGCTCAAATTCTTGACCTCATAAGTTAGAGTAGACAATATCTTCACTTTGTTATTGAAAATCATACCGACATTATGATCACATATGGAAGATATTTCTCTGGTGAGTGGCTTTGTTAATTCCCCATTAAGATCTTTTTTTTTTTTTTTTTTTTTTTTTTGCTTTCAAGTTTATGTATTGATGGCTGTAAAGATATTCAGATTTACCGACATTATGATCACATATGGAAGATATTTCTTTTGAAAGTTTATTAGATAATGTAGTTAATCATAACGACGATCAAACTTTGGTAATTTGAATCTGTTTTGTATACATAGGACATGAGCAATCGGTTCATTGCATTTTAATAAATTTATCGATTGCAAATACCACGAACAAAATTAAATCGAATTGTATCTCGGTTACAAATACGACAAATCAAATTAAATCCAATATATATATACATAAATAAATATGCATATAATTGCCCTGTGGCTTTCCTTCACAACCAATTACTTTTTCCATTTTCTCTCAGTTTTGAGTGAGTTTGTTAATATAGATGCATGACAATTGGACCTAGATCATGTAACATAACTCTATTATTATTAATTTTTTTATTGTAAATATATTAATTACTTGTGTTGGAGTTATTCTTGCTCATTAGTAACACCGTCAATCTTAGTTGATGAACATCTGGTGCATCCATTTACAAAAACATGAATATATATATATATATATATATATATATATATATATATATATATATATATATATATATATATATATATATATATATTGACAAGAATTCTAAACTTATTCAAACAGAGAAGAATTTTAACTGCACCTATTACAACTGACTTTTATATTGTTGGAAAAATGCAGATGACAAATTATTATGCGAAGAGTTGATTGTTGAAATATTTACAAGACTACCACCGAAATCCCTCCTCCGATTTAGATCACTCTCTAAATCGTTATATACTTGTATTTCTAGTCCCGGGTTCATACGCTTGCACACTTTCCGATCCCCACAAAAAATCCGCTTCACGCATGAAAATATTGACAATAATAAAATAGCAGAAGTCGTTTATACATTACACGGAGAAGACGAATTGCCATTGTGTTTGTGTCCCAAACGCGGATATATTGGTATAACAACAACAATTCCGTTTCCTTGTAGCAATAGGTTCAGAACTGTTGGTTCATGTAATGGAACTTTCTGTTTGAAGACTAAAAATGGTTTGACTCTATGGAACCCTTCAATCAGACGCAAAGTAAGAGTGCCTGAATGTCCTCGGAGTTCTGAACTCGCTTTGAGAGGTATTGGGTTTGGATTTGACCCAATCAGTGATGATTACAAAATTGTTTGGATATCATATGAAAAAGACACTTCATTTGTTTATGCGGTGAAGACAGGCACTTGGTGTGAGATTGCTTCCCCTAAACCTGAGTTTACTTATGTGCGACGTGAGGCGTTTTTATTTAAAGGAGTATTGCATTGGGAGGTAAATCATTTTGACTTAGACTTTTCTTGTATACTGACATTCGATTTGAGCACTCATGTTTTTGGTATGATTCCATTTCCTGGATTGGCTCCGGACTGGTTGACGACAAGACTAACAACCATCCAAGATTCTCTAGCTTTGATTTGTTATCGCATGAATATTGATGATAGTTGGATTCTGGTATGGAGAGATGCTTCTTGGTCTGTGGTTTTTAAATTGGGAACAGGTAAACTTCCGGTTGATGGAGCTTTTCAATTCCAACCACAACCACAAACGACCAACGAGTGTAATTTGTTGCTCACTACTTATGGGGAGGGTTCCAAATTTATAATCCCAAGACAGGGTTGCGATCAGGAGTACTTGGATTCAATGCTTCTTCTAGTTTAATAGACTTCTGGGAGTGTGTCGAAACACTTCATTTGTTAGACATGGGCGAGGCTGCTTGCGAAACAACTCAACTATGAGGAAAAAATTTACAACATTTGGGTTTTTGACGCATTTTGATTACCATTTTAGTCTTTATCATTGATACAAAAGAGTTGAAGTTACTGATTCCTTCATTCTATTAATAAAAAAACCGAATATGTAATTTCCCACTGCTTTGCCAATAAAATGAGATCTTATGGTGGCTGTTTTAACGGCTTGACTTTATATAAATTGAACTTCAAGAAGCAGGAATTACATTGTACAATAGACAAGGTTGTTGGCCCATGAGTTCCATATCAAATCCCTACACCATTTAGCTTTATTTTTAAGCCATAGAATGCTCAAATTCTTGACCTCATAAGTTAGAGTAGACAATATCTTCACTTTGCTATTGAAAATCATACCGTGCCTGTACGTTTATATGGTTAATAATAGCACCCTTGAAATCGCTTCAAAAATATATTGAGACCTGTTTTCACACCATAAGTAGAGTATATCCCTAGGAAGGCATTAAATGAGTCGTTCAATATAGGAGTCCATGAAAGCATTGCAAAGCGGACACATGGTGCATTCGATGATTACCCCCTACGTGCGAGGTTGAACCAGGTGGACA